ACTCTACCCAGGGGGACAGCTTGAGGCTCTGTCTCAAAAAAAAAAAAAAAAAAGAAAATCTAGAATAAACATGCATGGTATGACCTATTTATCTAAAGGGGGAAGGGATGAAAAGCAGTGATGTTGGTATAGACATGAAAATTCTGACTCCAACAGCAATTAAATTTCCAAACTAAGCATGTTTATTATTATTGTTGTTGTTATTATTGTTATTTTGAGACAGAGTCTCACTTTATCACCCTGGGTAGAGTGCTGTGGGGTCAGCTCACAGCAACCTCAAACTCTTGGGCTTAAGCAATCCTCCTGCCTCAGCCTCCTGAGTAGCTGGGACTACAGGTACCCACCACTATGCCCAGCTAGTTTTCTTCTTTTAGTAGAGACAAGGTCTCATTCTTACTCAGGCTGGTCTCGAACTCCTGAGCTCAAGCAATCCACCACCTTGTCCTCCTGGAGAGCTACCTCCATGTGAGCCACTGCACCTGGCCCATGTTTATGTTTTAATTCTCTGTGACTTTAAATTAATAGCCTAAGCCTTCATAATTTCTCAGATTCTGTGAATGTGGAGAATTACTTTTACCTCTAAAAGGTTTTATTCTTGGGGATAAATAAATGTATATATAACATTTTTATTTTTTACTTCAGAATATGATAGGGGTTCACACATTTTGGTTATATAATTCACTTTTGCAAAGATTGAGTCAAAGTTACAAGTGTGCCCTTTATCCAGATAGTGTGCACTGTACCCAATAGGTGTGAATTTGCCCATCCCCTCCCACTTGCTTGAGTTTCATTGAGTTTTACTTCCAATGTGCACATAAGTGTTTGTGGATTAGTTCTAGTTTAGTATTGAGTGCATGTGGAATTTTTCCATTCTTGCAATACTTGATTGGAAGAATGGTCTCCAGTTCCACCAGGTTGTTACAAATGATACTAGATTACTATTTTTTTTTTTATGGCAGAGTAGTAATCCACTCATCTGTTGATGGACTCCTGGATTATTTCCACGTCTCTATGATTGTGAATTGTGCTGCTATAAACAGTTGATTGTAAGAATTCTTTTTATAAAATGTCCTTTTTTTCCTTTGGGTAAATACCTCGTAGTGGGTTTGCTGGATCAAATAGTAGGTCTACTTTTAATTCTTTGAGGTCTTTTCATACTATTTTCCACAGAGATTCTACTAGTTTGCAGTCCTACCAGCAAACTAGTATAAGAGTATGTATAAGAGTATATGTACAAATGTATATTTTTGGCATGTGTGTATTTTTTTGAGGCAAGGTTTTGTCCTGTCACCTGGGCTAGAGTGTTGTAGCATCATTATAGCTCACTATAGCTTGCAACTCCTGGGCTCAAATAATCCTCCTGCCTTGCCTTCCAACTAGTTGGGACTATAGGCATATACCACCATGCTCAGCTAATTTTATTTTATTTTTTGTAGAGGCAGGATCTTGCTATGTTGCCCAGGCTGGGCTCAAGCAATCTCCTGCCTTGGTCTCCCAAAGTGCTAGGATTATATGGGTGAGCCACTGCACTTGGCCTGGGATAAATACTTTTGAAAAAATTTTTGTAACGTTAGTACACTGAGCAAATGTAGACAAATGCATACAGATGGAAGGAATGGGGCAGCTCAGAGTCAGAGAAGGATATAGGGCTCAGAAACAAGATTGCTGGATTTACAGTTGAAGTTAAACTAGCAGTTGTGGTGCAGACAGTTTTATTTCACCCCATTTCATCTGAACAGCCCATCCAGACTCTTCAACGTTAAAACATTGGCTACACTTATTTCTTGGTGGGAAGAAAAGGCTCTGATGGTCTGAGTGTCCTTCAACCCAGCAAACCACCTTCCCCTGTCCAGGGTTTCCAGCCCTCCCTGCTAGTGGTAGGTACAGGCAGGGTTGAGGAACATGAAACCTTTTACTCAGAGTGTGCTACTCCTGGAGCTTCATTCAGTGAGAGCTGTGCTTTGGTTCTGTGAGATCTCTCTATGAGTTGAAGGCATCACAGCAGGGGAAAGCATGCTTTTACATAAGAGAGTTTAAAGTGCAGAAAAAGCACGTGGTTAAATCCACGTGGTTAAGCCCAGCCCATTTTTTAAAGTGCTTGCTTGTTCATTCTCCATTCGTTCATTTACTCACTCTTTCAGTCCACGTTTATCGAGTCCTGCTGTATATTCCCAGGTCATTGTGCAGTAGCCATATATCTGTGTTTGTGTTGACAGATGTCGTAGGGGATTTTTTATCCCCATTCATATGTGCCATTCACTTGTTATTTCTTCTGTTTTTATGTTACGCCTGTAAAAGATTTCTCAAGAATTGCAATTATGATATGCTGTCACAAATGATCACTTATCTGAACCTCTTTTATTTGTAGGTTGGATCATTGGACAATGCCACATGCTTTGTGGATGGTGTGGGCTTTGGGGGCTGTCATTAGCTTCTCCAAGGAAGGGTCCTCTGGCCCAGGATCTCTGTCCTGTGACTCTGCTGGTGTCTGTGATGGCAGCTCGAGGTCTTTAAACTCCATTCCCTCAGGGCTTACAGCAGCAGTGAAAAGCCTGAACCTGTCCAACAATGAAATCACCTATATTGGCAATAGCCACCTGCAGAGATGTGTGAACCTCAAGACTCTGATACTGACGTCCAATGGAATTAATGCCATAGATGAAGATTCTTTCTTTTCTCTGGGCAACCTGGAATATTTGGACTTATCCTATAATGACTTATCGAATTTGTCATCCTCCTGGTTCAGGCCCCTTTCTTCCTTGAAATTCTTAAACTTATTGGGAAATCCTTATAAAACCCTCGGGGAGACATCTCTTTTTTCTCACCTCCCAAATCTGCAATTCTTGAGAGTAGGAAATGCTTACACCTTCGCTAAGATTCAGAGAAAGGATTTCGCAGGACTCACTTTTCTGCAGGAACTTGAGATCGATGCTTCAGCACTTCAGAGTTATGAGCCAGAAAGTCTGAGGTCAATTAAGAGCATCCAGAATCTGACCCTGCTTCATCTGAGGCGGCCTGTGTTACTACTGGAGATTTTTGCAGATATTTTAAGTTCTGTGGAATATTTGGAACTGAGAGATAGTGATTTGTATGACTTCCAATTTTCAGAACTCTCCATCAGTGAAAGCAATCCACTGATTAAACAGTTTACATGTAGAAATGTGAAAATCACTGATAAAAGTTTGTTTCAGGTTTTAAGACTTCTGACTTACGCTTCCGAATTGTTGGGCTTAGAGTTTGATGACTGCATCCTTGACGGAGTGGGGGATTTTAGTACATCTGATGAATACAGCATTAAAGATCCAGGGAAAGTCGAGACACTCATCATACGGAGGTTTCGAATTTCACGGTTTTTTTTATTTCATGATCTGAGTTCTTTATATTCACTTGCAGGAAGAGTTAAAAGAGTCACAGTGGAAAACAGTAAGGTTTTTCTGGTTCCTTGTTCACTTTCACAACATTTAAAATCATTAGAGTACTTGGATCTCAGTGAAAATTTGATGGTTGAAGAATACTTGAAAAATTCAGCCTGTGAGAATGCCTGGCCCTCTCTACAAACTTTACTTTTAAGGCAAAATCACTTGACATCATTAGATAAAACTGCAGAGACTTTGCTTACTCTGAAAAACCTGAGTGTCCTGGATATCAGTAAGAATAGTTTTCGTTCTATGCCTAAAACTTGTCAGTGGCCAGAAAAGATGAAATATTTGAACTTATCCCACACACGAATACAAGATTTAACTAATTGCATTCCTCAGACACTGGAAATTTTAGATGTTAGCAATAACGACCTGAATTCATTTTCTCTGACTTTGCCACTACTCAAAGAACTTTATATTTCCAAAAATAAGTTGAAGACACTACCAGACGCCGCCTACTTACCTGCGTTACTGGGGTTGAACATAGGCAGCAATACAATAAATACTTTTTCTAAGGAACAACTTGATTCTTTTCACAAACTGAAGACTTTGGAGGCTGGTGGCAACAACTTCATTTGTTCCTGTGAATTCCTCTCTTTCGCTCAGGAGCAGCAGGCAATGGGCAACGTCTTGATCAACTGGTCAGAAAACTACCTGTGTGATTCTCCGTTCCATGTGCGGGGCCAGCGGGTTCTGGATGTCCATCTCTCGGTGTCTGAGTGCCACAGGGTGGCACTGGTGGCTGGCACGTGCTGTGCCCTGTTCCTGTTGATCCTGCTCATGGGCTTCCTGTGCCACCGTTTCCATGGACTGTGGTACATGAAGATGATGTGGGCCTGGCTCCAGGCCAAGAGGAAGCCCCGGAAAGCTCCCCCCAGGGACATCTGTTACGACGCGTTTGTTTCTTACAGTGAACAGGATTCCTACTGGGTGGAGAACCTTATGGTCCAGGAGCTGGAGAATTTCAACCCCCCCTTCAAGCTGTGTCTTCATAAGCGGGACTTTATTCCTGGCAAGTGGATCATTGACAATATCATTGACTCCATTGAAAAGAGCCACAAAACTGTCTTCGTGCTTTCTGAAAACTTTGTGAAGAGCGAGTGGTGCAAGTATGAGCTGGATTTCTCCCATTTTCGTCTCTTTGATGAGAACAATGATGCGGCCATTCTCATTCTTTTGGAGCCCATTGAGAAAAAAGCCATCCCCCAGCGCTTCTGCAAGCTGAGGAAGATAATGAACACCAAGACCTACCTGGAGTGGCCAGCGGATGAAGCTCTGCAGGGCGGGTTTTGGTTAAATTTGAGAACTGCAATAAAGTCCTAGGTTTCTGGGTGAAAGGCCAGTCTTGGTCTTTGGGGTCTTATATTAGTAGTTGTAACTAAATTATTTCTGACATAATTATCTAAAACCACATGAATGTACAGTCATTTGAGGACTTACTAAAACTGTTAATACCAAAACTATTCAAATTGTTATCTGCAGTGGTGTTTTATAAAATTTTAATCAGATTAGAAAAAAGTAGTTTTGGTTTTCTTTATTCTATAAGATAATCATGATCTAAATCCATTATTGATAATCCGAATAAAGTCCTCCCTCAATATCTGGGAGAAGTTGGTTCCAAAATCCCTATGAATATAAAGAATCTGGGCAGCGCCTGTGGCTCAGTGGGTAGGGTACTGACCCCATATACTGAGGGTGGCGGGCTCGAACCTGGCCCCGGCCAAACTGCAGCAATAACAAAAAAAACAGCCGGGCATTGTGGCAGGTACCTATAATCCCAGCTACTTGGGAGGCTGAGGCAAGAGAATTGCCTAAGCCTAGGAGTTGGAGGTTGCTGTGAGCTGTGCAATAAAGTAAGACTCTGTCTCTAAAAAAAAAAAAAAAAAGAATATAAAGAATCTGTTCACAAATGTTTAAGTCCCATTTATATGTGTGTATATGTATATATATGTGAAATATGGCCTCATAATTCCATATAAACTACATATATCATCCTGTATACTTTAAAGCAGAGGTCCTCAAACTTTTAAAACAAGGGGCCAGATCACTGACCCTCAGACTGTTGGAGGCTGGACTGCGGGCCCCGGGATGAGTCAGCTGCTAAGCAAGACAGGCAGCGGTGGCAAAAACACCTGGTGGGCTGGATAAATGTCGTAGGTGGGCTGCATGTGGCCCGCGGGTGGTAGTTTGAAGACGCCTGCTTGCTTTTTTTTTGAGACAGAGCCTCAAGCTTTCCCCCTGGGTAGAGTGCCGTGGCATCAAAGCTCACAGAAACCTCCAACTCCTGGGCTCAAGCGAGTCTCCTGCCTCCGCCTCCCAAGTAGCTGGGACCACAGGCACCCGCCATAACGCCCGGCTATTTTTTGGTTGCAGCCGTCATTGTTGTTTGGTGGGCCCAGACTGAATTCAAACCCGCCAGCTCTGGTGCATGTGGCTGACGCCTTAGCCACTTGAGCCACAGGTGCCAAGCCAGGATGCCTGCTTTAAAGCATCTCTAGATTACTTATAAAACCTAATACAATGTAAATAAAATGCAAATAACTGTTGTACTGTGGTTTTAAAAATTTGTATTTTTTTATTGCATTGTTATTATTTTAAGATTTTTTAAAGAATATTTTTGATCATTGAGGGGATCAAAATTGAGTCCATAGAAGGAAACCTATGGACTTCCTAGGTTAGGAAGGGCCAGCTGTCATCTGTAGCAATTAGCTTATCCCATTAGTAAATAGCACAAATGAATGGAAGATTCCAATAACTGTGTCAAGTCAGCCCGCCTTCTGCTGAGATGCCCTTCTGTGACTACAGAGGGCATTCTCTGTCCCACCCAAACTGTCCCCTCCCTGTGCAACCATTCTCAAGAACAACAGTGCAAAATACTTGAGGCATTCAGCCAAACTTGCTGTTCCTAGAAAGAAGTGCAGTGTGTTCCCATAAAACTTTACATGCCACAACCGAGAGGGCGTATTTTCATGTGAACTCCATCTGATCTGTGTTTGTGGCTATTTGATAGGTTTCTCCAGCCATGTTTACTTGAGAGAGGGTCCATAACACAAGGGACAGTCAATTATGTTTCCCTGGGAAAGCAAAACTCTTACGGTAAATAGAATACTCAGTTGGGAAGAATTTAAAAGAAGCCTCCCATGTCCTGACGCTGACCTTCCTCAGCCTTTAACTACCAGGCAGGTCCTAGTTAGTGTCTCTCACTCTGGTTCTCAGTTACCATTTGTCGTCTCTTTGCCTTGCATCTTGTGGCTTTTTTCGACTTTGAGAAGTCTTGTTTCTAATTCTAAAAAGGCCACTCTTTTTTTTTTTCCTTCTGAAAATTTAGAAAAGTACATATGAGCTAAACGATTGTTGAATAAGTATGTACCTAGAGGATCCTAATAATGACTCAAAATTAGTGTGATACCCATATTTTAAACATAGATATTATTATACATTAATTTTTATGATTTAGACTTACCACTACATATTTTATTTTGATGCAACATTCTCTGCTGAGAGCTGTTTACTGATTTTATGTGACTTTCTTGGTACGCTGGGAACCACACGAATCTCTTTTAGGTTCTGCTCGATTCTACACCAGAACTGGGTTCCTGTGGTTAGTTGGGTTCTGGCGTCAGAAGGACCTGGGTTAGTGGATGTGTGATCTTGGGCAGTCACTCGATGTGCCCCCAGACGTCCTTCCATCTCTCATAGGGGATGTGATCTCTGTGTCCCAGGGTGCTGAGAGTATGAAATACAGAGATGTGAGAAGCCATGGAGGCCATGCTCACTGGCTGCCATCCCCTGGAGGTGTGAGGAGGGTGAAAGTACCAAGCCTGTGAGAACGGGGCCTGCCGGGGGAGAGAGATGTATAGGGGATGTCAGCTATTATTACTTTCCAAGAAGTGATTCATTCCCTTATATCTTATGGCTCATAAATGAATATTTTTTTCTTATGGGTACTAGCAGGAATGTAAGGGACCCTATTGTTTGCAGATAAACACTCCATATAAATAAGTTCATTAAGTGCATAACAGGCCTCAGTCCTTGGGGAACTTCGATAGGGCTATATCTTTTTTATACAAGGGTGTTGTCCCAGGCTGCCACCTGCAGCAAGCACCTAGAGCAGAAAAGACAATATCTTCTTCGACCCAGGGGTGACTCAACAGCTCTACCTACTTCTCTCTCTCTCTCTCTCTCTCTTTTTTTTTTTTGGAACAGTAGCCAGCTTAAGAAAAAAATGGACAAGTTTAGAAGAAGAAAACTTGAGATGTCAGAAACCAAACAAAATAACGGACTTTCTGCTTTGCTTCTTTATTTCCCACATTAAGCACCATATTAATTATCATGAGACCCAGATAAATTTAACATTGACTTGACCTATAGACCTGTATTTAATTTCAAGAATTTTTTTGTTTAAGAGACAGGATCCCACTCTGTTGCCGAGGCTAGAGTGCAGTGGTACCATCACAGTTCACTGCAACTTTGAACTCCTGGGCTCAAGTGATCCTTCTGTCTCAGCCTCCTAAGTAACAGGGACACAGGCACGTACCATCATGTCTGGTGGAGTTTTCTTTTTCTGGTAGAGATGGGGTCTTACTCTTGCTCAGAGCTGGTCTTGAACTTCTGGCCTCAAGTGATCCTCCTGCCTTTTCCTTGCAAAGTGCAAGGATTATAGGCGTGAGCCACTGTGCTTGGCCTAAAAATAATATTTAGTTTTCTCATTGCAATTGTTAAACATGTTTACCATAGAAGTTTTAGAAAAGAAGTAAGAGTGAATAAGAGAAAATAAGGATCAGCTCTTAGCCCATCAACTTGGGATCACTACTGGTAACTTTGGAGTGTTTATAAAACCTCCAGTCTTTTTTCCATAAACATATATATGTGTTACTTTATAAATTTGGAATTTGTGGCCAACTGCCATGGTTCATGCCTGTAATCCTAGCACTCTGGGAGGCCTAGGCTGGTGGATTGCTTGTGCTCACGAGTTTGAGGCCAGTGTGAGCAACAGTGAGAACCTGCCTCTACTAAAAATGAAAAACTGAGGCAAGAGGATTACTTCAGACCAAAAATTTGAAGTTGCTGTGAGCTATGACGCTAGAGCACTCTACAGAGGGTGATAAAGTGAGACTGTCTCTAAAAAAAAAAAGAGAGAGAGAGAGAGAGGAAATGCACCATTGGGATTTGAAAAATTGGGATTTGTAAATATTGAAACTGCATCTTCAGTTTTTCTCTAAGGTTGTTTAGTGATTATCTGATATTCCTGAACTCTGAGGGTCATTTTGAATTCCATGCAGATAGATATTGGTTTACTTGCCCAGAGTTCTAAAGGCTTCCAGAAGCTTCTCTCATGAAGAAATGAAAGCAGAGAAATGTAAGGATAATTGCACACGTGTGCATCTCAGCGTGTGCATGTGTGTGTAATCAGATGGGCATGAAAGGAGAGTGATTCTTTCTACTTTAGTGTAGCCCTTGGTCATACGGAGTATGTTTGGCAGCTCCAGGAAACCCAAAGTAGCTGGAGCCCAGTGAGAAGATGTGGCACCTGGTGTGGTGCCCAGGCTGCCACCTGCAATAAGCACCTAGAGCAGAAAAGACAGTATCTTCTTCAACCCACAGGTGACTCAACAGCTCTACTTACCTCTCTCTTTTTTTTGAGATAGAGCCTTATTATTGTCACCCTCAGTAGAGTGCTGGGGTGTCACAGCTCACGGCAATCACAAATTCTTGGGCTTAAGTGATTCTCTTGCATCAGCCTCTTAAGTAGCTGGGACTACAGGCAGCCGCCACAATGCCCAGCTATTTTTATTGTTGTTGTTGCAGTTGTCACTGTTGTTAGGCAGGCCCGGGCTGGGTTTGAGCCTGCCAGCCCCACTGTAGGTGGCCAGCACCCCAATCACTGAGCTACAGGCGCTGAGCCTCTACCTACCTCTTTAAAGATGTTGAACTGATGAGAGGACATTATTTATGACTAAGTGTCACATGTGAGAAGTCCTTTATAAACCTCAGAAACACTTTATGGATGAGATCATTATCAGACTGGAGGGGACTATCCATACATAGTGGGGTCTAACAAATGTGTCATGTGCGTGGGTTAGAAAATGATCGCAGTGGGAAAGATGAAAAACATGCTTTGTTTATACCGTTGCTCAGTTTCTCTTCAAATTCTTTTCACATAGACAAATCTTTAAGTATGACACCAAATTTTATTTAGTTTTATAAACTCTTGGGATCATCTCTAAAATTAAAAAAAAATCCATGTTAAATAGAGGACCAAGGATTTAATAATATTTCAGCCATGCAATATATCACTTCTGGAGTACGTCTGCCATACTATTCCAGCCCTAGTGAATAGTTAATGCCTTGAACTATTCCTATCACCACAGGTTGCCAGGCCACCAAATAACGGAGCCAGTCCAGGATCTGTCCGTACAAAATATGTGTGCGCTCCCAGCTAAATCTCAGTTAAGGAGATTGTTCTTTATACAGCCAGAAAAGTAGCATAAATATTCATAAACGTCATTT